TTCCCGGCCCGTTTCTGTTATCGGTTCGTGTGCTTCCTGTTTTCAAATTGCTTCATTTTTTTTTCTTCTCCATTTTGAAATTTTGGATTCTGTGATATTCTTTTTATTCGTTTATTGTTATCTTTTTATTATTATTTTTTATTTTTTTATTATTATTATTTTTTTTTTCTTTTTTTCTTGTGTCTTTCTGCGAGTAAAAAGGGGGAAATGTGCTTTGTTGCGAAATTATACTGATGATACAAAGTGAATATAAAAAATACATAGAAGGATAAACACAAGTCATTATACACACATACTGTACACACAGACACACGCACACGAACAGATGCGATGCAATACAGTCACATGTACTGTTTAGAGAAAGAACAAACAAAATAAAGAAAACAAGAGATAAAAAACGCGACAAGACGACAAAAAAGACAAAAACAAAACAAAGAATAAGCAAACAAAACACAAATAAACACTCCCCCCCAATTAAAAAATAATAAAAGAAAAGAAAAAAGGAGAAACAAACGCGCCCCCCCAAAAAAAAAAAATAATAATAATAATAATGATAAAAATAAAAGAAAAAAAATATAACAAACGCGCCAAAAAAAGGAAGAAAAAATCAAAGAGACAACAGACAAGACAAGACAACCAACAAACAGACAGACACAAGACAAAGACAGCGGAACGGGAAGAGAGTCGACCGGACACCGCGGTGGGGAACATAGTGCTATACTCATCCAATATTCACACGGTCGCCGACGCTGAGGAATCGCAACGTGACATAGCCAATCGATGGTGTAGCAAGCAAGCAAGCAAGAAGGGGTGAGGGCGGGGGTGGGTGGGGGTGAGGGCGTGGGGTGAGGGCGTGGAAGTGAGGTGGGGTGGGGGTGAGGGGGGGGAGGAGTGGGGTGGGTAGGGGTGGGAGGGGATTGGCTAAATCGCAAGGGTGTCGTTGCACTGTTTGTCCCGCTCTCTCTCTCTCTCTCTCTCTCTCTCTCTCTCTCTCTCTCTCTCTCTCTCTCCTCTCCTCTCTCTCTCGTGTTGTCGTGTTGTTTCTTCTTTATCCTTTTCTTGTTTTTCGTTTTCCTTGTNATATATATATATATATATAAGTTTGTGTGTGTGTGTGTGTGTGTGTGTGTGTGTGTGTGTGTGTGTGTGTGTGTGTGTGTGTGTGTGTGTGTGTTGTGGTGTGTGTCTATACACACACTCACACATATATAAACATACACACGCATACGAATATAATGTGTGTTGGCTATATACAATACATGTGTAAGCAAATTTGTGTGTATATCCATGAGTGGATGTTCATATGCGTATATTTTTCTCCTCCTTTGCTTTTTCTCTCTCTGTCAATCACTGTCTCTCTCCCACCCTCGTTTTCTCTGCTTTTTGGTATATTTTTCATGATAAAAAAGAGAAATGTCCACATTCTCCAATTTCTCGATTCCGCATAAAAAAGACAGGAACGTGTCAATATTTGCTCAGAATCCTGGCCTAATAAGGTACCCTGTCCTATCTTGCCGTCTTGTTTGAGTGTAAGCTAAGGTAAACTTTGTTTATTATTGTCATTAAAGTGAATATCTTGCAGCTCAGTCTTATCATGGTCCTTAAACTCGGGTCCCGATCAAGGACCCAACTTTAAGTTAGTGAAATCTGGCGCGCTATTACCTTAGATTTTGTGTTGTTAATGACGAGTTGGAGTGAATGAGAATGCTTCGATAAGATGAAAATATGACTTACAGGATAGTTCCCTCATAGAAATGACTTGTATGAATTTGTATTCAGGTCTCCTCAGCTTGCAGTAATACGATGTTAACGAGAAGTAATCTTTCCGTAGTTTTGCCATTTTTTCTAATCGCTTCCATAAAATCTTTGATCTAGCATAAAGTTCGCATTTATATTACGATGGTATTCATGTATCAGTGTATTATGGCATACTTATTATCTTTGCTGTGTCGGATCTTATTTTGAATTTCCTGCGATGCGTGAAGAAATATATTCGCGTTTACTGTAAAAAATAAGCCAGTATCTCAATATTATGAGAACATGAGTGTCATGCAGATAAACAGGATTTCAATATATTCGACAAGCGCGCTAATCCCTATTCGCACCCAGCGGGATGGACTGGTGCGCAAACATGTCGATTAAGTTTCCCGGGCGAACTCATGGCGTCACGGAGAGCATAATGCGATCGGGGATGCTTCTCTCGCGCCGTCGGGGTCTGAATACAGACCTCATTAGTTCCCTCCACTTCGCAACGGCGACGTGCTGGAGGGAAGCGCTATAATTACGTCCCGCGTAGCAGGTGGACGCGGAGGGAAGGGGCATTTGCACTCTGCATTTTGCAAGAGGAGCCGCCCTGATCATTTGCTTGTGCTTTAACGCTAATCCTCTTGTGTTGCAGCGATGGTGAGAGCTTGCCTGGGACTTCGCGTCGCCTGAGTTGGTCGTCCGGGCTTCGTGAGTCAAGAGGCCGTGTTAGCAAAAGCTGCCTGAAGCTGGACATGTAGAGGCCGTGCGGGCGTACACGCGCGGGAGAAGGAGCACCTGAACATGTGTTGTCTGGTGTTCACATTGATATGAGAAGATTCTAGAAGGTTATACGCAATGGAGGACGAGGCGGACGGCAAGCTGATTCAGAAGGAGGATGCCAAGGTAGAGATCGCGGAGGGCGAGAAGGGCGAGGAGGCCGAGCTGTGCACGCGCCTCAAGATGGCCCGGAAGAGCTTGACCAGATGCCATGGCGTCGAGGAGACCTTCGAGGGCGAGTTCGACTCCTGCCTCAGCAGCGAGGCCAAGCTCGAGTACGAGAACGAGAGCTTCCAGCGCCCCGCATCCCCCGAGAGCGCCAGGAACTCGGCCGAGGTCTCCCTTGTCCGTACTGGCAAGGAGTCGCCCGCCGGGGGCGCGTCACCCTCCGCCGAGGACGCAGCGCCCACGCTATCGTCACCGGCGACGCCGCACACTGAGCGCGGCAGTAGCAGCCGGCGCAGCAGCAGCAGCGGCAACTGCGAGGAGGGCGCCCGCGACGGCTACGACGACATCTCGGCGTCCATGAGCGTGATCCGCATGGAGAAGTTCGCGCTGGAGAAGCGCCGCGTGTCGCGCATCCTTCCAAAATGTCTTCACCGCACTTTCGTCGACCCGGACGTGGAGCAGCTGTTCCAGGCGTACCACGAGCGGCAGCGGCGCGCCGACCTGCACATACTACTGGCGGCGGGCGGCATCTTCACGGCCTACAGCGTGACGCTGTGCCTGGCGGACGCCCAGGACCCCTCGCTACCTGCGCCCCTCGCGCTCGCTTGCATCGGCGCCCTCCACGTGCTCCTGCTGCTGCTGTGCCGCCTCCACGTCTTCCCAGAGCGATCGTGGATCCTCCTGCCGTACCTTGCGTGGGCGCTGTTTCTCACGGGCGTGGCCGTGTTCGTCATCCTCGGCCCGCTGACGCCCGTGCCGCGCAACGCGCTTCTCTGGCTCATCCTCCTGCACTTCCTCGTGTTCGTGGGGCTGCCGCTGCGCCTGCCCGCGTGCCTCGCGCTCACCGCCGTCACCGCCGCCGCCCACCTCACCACGTCGGCCCTCCTCACGCCCGCGCCGCACCGCTACACCACTCAGGTATGTGTCGCACCCGCAAACGCGCACTTCCATCCATTCTCTCACCCTTGAACACTCTACCGCGCGACCACCCACGCGTCCAAGAACACGCGAACCAACACAAACACAAACAGCTCGACTCACTTTCTCTTGTTATGTTTGTCATTTGTTTTCCTCATTTTTATC